AGGGGATTGAAACGACATCCTGAACACGGAAAGCTGTGACGGCGAATTCCAGAGATGGTAGAGGTGGCGCTGGGGTTTAGCTATAGCGCTGCTCCCGGGCATGCTGTGCATCCGGCAGGCCACCGACGAGACTGGAGTGGTGGTTGGCTCAGTATCGTTTTTTGCGCATGCCGCGACAGAGCATGCTTTGCGTCAGGAGCGCACGGCTTGCGAACATCGTGCAGTAATTCCTGCAGCACACGTATCGGCTTTTAGGCTTCTGTCGCTGTGCCTTGTGTTATAAGTGTTATGTCCTCTGCACATAATTGCGGCACGTTGAGCCAGACATCTCTGTCAGATCCAGCAACAAGGGGCATGAAGTATCTCATTAAAGCTATGTGACTGCCACTTCCACCATACGTGATGGCAATAGATAGAGTTATCTTTCTGTCGGGCTCACCATATGTCATCATGGTCCTCATCTTCACCGTTGCTCGTGTTACCAACTTGGTGCCGGAAGACTGTTGAACAGAAGTCTGGTGAAGCTCCAGAGGGCGCAAGCGCACATACACGCAACCGCTGAGACCTCCTACAACCTGTACTGGGCCGACGCGGCGTTCATGAAGCTTCTCCTTATCGCGAAGCTGCCAGCAAGCTCGAGTTCGTTGGAGCTTTGTCTGCAACAGCTGCGGGGTTGTCTGCCCATACCTCAAAACGCAGAACATGAAAACCACAGACTAAGCCAGAACCCTAAAGACTGTCATGCGGTGAGACCTGTGATTTCAGGTACTGCTAGGGCCGAGGGCCGGAGCCGGAGAAGGTCCTTGAAAAGAAACCCCTAGGGGTCGAGTCAGGTATAAAGGACTGGCCGAGGATGCCGGGCTCGGGGTTTGAGCCCTATACTGCTCTGTCAGACCTACACGCTCACCGATGCCGTCATCCCAGCCGCCGCTGCGCACATCCTGGTCAGTGTGGAAGGCGCTGGTGGTGAGACCGTTGGTGGCGTGGTCCGCGTCTCAGTGCATCCTCTCCCAAACCTCCCACTGGTTAGACATGGCTTTACCGGGGCTTAGCCCTAAACCCTAAACCCTAAACCCTAAACCCTAAACCCTTCTGAGGCCACCACAGGCGAGCTAGACTACACCACGCTTACAGCGCCTCGTGACCTCATGTTCCAAGATGCAGATCCCGGCGTGAATCTCTATGGAGGCCGCTGCAGCCTTCTTCCGCTAGATGCAAGGGACTAAGGGAGAGACCCTTAAAGGGACCCCTGGGGTTATATAGGGGCTTTATGAGACTAAGGGGTATATAAGGGTTATATAGGGTATTCGGATTAGGGGTCCCTTCTAGGGGTCCCTCCTATTGACCCTTAATAGATGCACTGCTTGGATTTATGGAAAAGGCCGAGCCTTGTCTCCAGAGTTGCTTTTTGCCTGGGCACAACCCTAAACCCCAAGCCCTTCATGGCCAGAAAAGCAGTCAACTTCCCTACGGATCCCGAGGGTTCATGCCTCCAGTACCATTTACCAAGAAACCCAAGGTTTCTTGCATGGTTGAAGGAATGTTCCTCGGCTTTTGGATCTGACCTCACTGAGAGTCGCTTGTTTCGGATCGTTTCTATGGTTTAAGGAGCAGTCTTGTGGAAATCGCCCTTACAGTCGCAGTCTCCTAGAAAGACAAGTTATTTTAGATACATACTAGGTCGCTTTGGAAACATCTGCCTAGCAAGCCTTAAGCAGGGATCCCTTCTCAAGGATCCTTTTTCTGGTTTGCGGCTCCTTTTCCCTAGTTCAGCGCAGTTGAAAGCCCTGAACAGCCGTCAACCACAAACTCCTAAACCCCTCAACCCTGAACCCTAACCCAAACCCCTAAACCCCTAAACCCTAAACCCTAAACCCCTAAATCCTAAACCCCTAAACCCCCTCAACCTTCGACGGCAGGTGTCATCCACTTTCGACGGGCTGCTCGGGAGGCGCCACGGGGGCATCCTGAGGTTTGAGGCTTCGGGCCATCTTTGCCGAAATGGTGTGTTTTTGGGGGAGTTTGAGGGAGTTGAGGGAGGTTTGGGGTTTGGGGAATTTGAGGGAGATTTCGGGTTTGGGAATTCTCGAGCTTTGGAGGAAGTTTAGGGGTGAGCCTTCCTGCAGAGACTGGCACACGTAGGCCCGTAGGCTCGGTATTCGTGAACTTCCCTTTCTGGGTCCCTTTAATGGCCCTTTAATGAAGTGGCGGTAATATGCCCCTCCCAAATCCTATTCTCCATGGCATGACGACGACGATGATACCAAGCCTGTGTCCATGTCACCGCGGCCAATGCCGCTGTCATGGCTAACACAGCCAGCACAGCTTCTATTCATATAAATACAGATGTACATATATATATATATATGTATGTGTATATATATATGCACACACATATGTTCATGTATATCTGTAAATGTTCATGTATTTGTACACATACCTACATGCATGCATGCATGCACGTATGCATTCATACATGGTTACAGATAAAATAATTACCCTCGCACATACATGCATGCATGGCATACATGCATCCATGCATACATGCATACATGTATGCATATGTTACTTGCATGCACACATGCATACATGCATACATGCGTTTGCTTGTTTGTTCGTTTGCTTGTTTGTTCGTTTGTTTGTTTGTTTGTTTGTTTGTTGGTGTGTGTGTGTGCGCGTGCGTCTGGGCATGCGTGCACGCACATCTGTGCGCCGTTGTGTGTTGCCACCACACAGAGTCGACAAAGTCCTGCAGTCTCGGCATCCCAGCTGTTTGACTTCAGCACCGCAGGCGACCGTCGAGCAGTATGAGATTCATTGGGCCCAGCTGTCTGGATCAACGGCCTCACCGGTTTCACTGGTGGAGACAATTACGACGGCTTCCGACAATGAGTTGCCTGGTCCGTTGTTCGAGGGTCCTTAGGTGAATCAGTGAATCTTATAAGCTCTCACAAACAGGGACCTTGAGAATAGCGGGCTCTCAGTGAAAGCGGGGCCTTCAGGAGGAAGCACTGGGCCCTAGGTCCTGAGCCATGTCTTCGGTTAGCTCCTCCACTTTTCGCACCGCCATGTCGACACTCTGAGGACCCTGCTGTTTGAGATGATCGACTCCTATGGTGATGGATGGAACGGCGCGTACTACTACATTCGGACCTCAACCGGACCGTCAGCTGCACAAATGTAGCAGGGTTCAGGATCATGGCCGCATCGGCGAAGTTGGACTGTGCCATCTGTTATTCAGGTCTGCGTTAATTAAATCTGGTGTGAAACAGCTGGAACAGTACGCGAGACCACCATTAAGCCTTCGTTATGCCTTGTCGTCAGTCTCCGCAGTTGGGTGGCCAAATGCATGAATTTTTGCTGCTCTTCGCCGGCACTGTGTGAGGAGAGTCTGTGGCAGAGGGCACCTTTTTGAGCGGCTATGGTGCGACACACACCATTGCTGGCGTCTCAGCAGGAGCAACGTTGAAGCTTGGGCAGCGATTTGGACATTTTTTGCTGCGTAACGCCTTTCCGAGCTTCCAGCCTCATGTGTGCCCTGAATCGTTGTGTAGTGTAAAACCCCTCGGCCCTTATAGATTCCTGATAGAGCCCTTACAAAACCCATATAGAGCCCTTGCAGAACCCTTGTAGAGATATCATCAAAGGAAGCCTCTCAGTCGATGTTTGTGCTGCTGAGGACACTGACCGTGTCGCGAGGTGTCCTGGCATGGTGAGTCGTTGGTCGGAACCTGCCATGTCAGATCTTCTTTAAGGGGCCTCAGAGCCCAGTTAGCCGGCCCAGCCCATGTGTTCGTAATGGCATTGGCTCCTAAATAACTCCCTAAACCCTGAACCCCTAAACCCCCAAACTGTAGGGCTACGGTAGGACCCTGATGTCTTCTTCTTCGTATAGGGTCGTATTGTCTGAAGAGGGTCGGGTCTGAGCCCGGGACCAGGTCGCGGAAGAACCGTATATGCTTTGGGGCTTCCCGGCCCGGAGGGCTTTGGGGCTCTTGTTTTGGGTTCAGGGTTTAGGGTTTAGGGCTTTCTTAGAGCTTCAGAAATGACGCCGGAGGAGGAATTCGTGTCTTCTGCCTCGTTTGCGGCGCAGCCAGGGAGTTGATCTAAATCCGATGTTATATACCATCACACGAGCCAACGAGATAGCCAAGTCTAACGCACCAGTACGTACCGCCTCGAAAGCCTATGCTCCAAACCTGGGTCCTAAATCTAAGATTGACTAGACCCTCAAGCCTCAGCGCCAAAGCCAAACCTTCTCCCGTGCTCGTGGCTTCAAGGTAGCTGGCCATCAGAGATCTCATGGGCGGCTTGACTTTTAATCCTGGTACAGTGACGTAAAAGTAATGGCAATCACAGTAATAATAATAGTAGTAGAAACAGTAGGAACAATAGTACTACTAGCCATAATAGCAACAAGAATAGCATTAAGAAAATGATTAATACTACTAGTGATGATAAATACTGGTAGTTTAAAGTATTGCTAACTATAATAACGATGATGATAATTGTGATGAAAATACAAAGAACAATATCGAGGCCCCTATATCAATCGTCGAAGCTGTGAAGTTGCGATTTTGAGTTTAGGCTTCTGCTCCACTCTTGTGGCTGCCCGGCTATCAGAAAGCAGTCTCAGGAGCAGCGGCATCTCCGCGCGGAAGACGATTGTTGTAGTGACATTGTAGTGTTGTTCGGTGGGCGCGGAGTCAACGATAATGTCGGGGCCTTGATAATTAGAATAGTTTGGGCTACATAGCTTATAATCAGGAGCCAGAAAAATCTGTGCGTTCCTCGTCATCGCCATTCTCCTGCTTGCTATCGGCTTGTTGCTTGATGAGTACCCAGCAATATCGTATGCGCCGGGCAACCGCGGCTTTGTTCCGATAATGGCATGGTTCTGACGACTCCTCGCCACCAACGCTAGAAGCTATCATCTTTTCTGCGTTTCTTCGTCGTTTGGCGGCTACTGTTTTCTCCAGTTGCTGACGCTGCTGCACCAACTGTCTTGACTACTCTTGCTGAGATTGTGGTGCAAGTATGCAACTTGAGACGAAAGCTTTTGTAAACCCTAAACCCTTGTAGTACCCTTTCGGGAAGCAGCATAGAACCCTTCAAGGAACCCCGAAGCTGAGCCACCTTCCAGGTGCTCAAGACAGTCAACAACGAGGCACAGAGTTCTGAAGATCGGAGTTCGTTTCGCAATGCCTTGCGTTTTGGGTTTAGGGTTGTAGGGTTTAGGGTAAGGACGGGTTCGTGTGCCAAAAAACCGCGAGCCTCGCCGAAAGGAGATTTTGACCTCGTCGGCGGAGACATTTCCCGAGAACCGGCAGTTTCGTGTGCCAGGTGTGGGGCCCTTGATGCAAGGGTTCTGCCTTTTATGGTTCTTTCTTGGAGGCCCTGTTTTCGGTAGTGGCTAGGGCTGAATCATGGATATAGAAGCCGCGACATCTTGATTTGATGCTGTCAGTCAGTCTTCAACCCTTCAGCCCTAAGCCCTAAACCCTAAACCCTAAAGCCCTAAGCCCTAAGCCCTAAACCCTTCAGCCCTTAACCCTGTAAAGTCGAAGGCACTGGTAACTCCAACTCTGACAACGTTCACATCGACGGAGACATGGTTCAAGTGACCCTGCCATCGGGCACATCCGCTCCTTCGGGCCGGCGCCTCAAATCCTCCGATTCTTAGTGCTACCATTGCTATTGCTATTAATAGTATTATTATTATTGTTATTATTATTTTTGTTTACTATTATTGTTGTATTGGTATTATTGCTACTTCACACGAAACTTTGGGCTTTGACGGCTTGAGGTTACACGTCCTAGCGAATAATGTGGACAAGAAGGGTCTCTCCGTCTCTCTTGTGGTCTCTGGATCGCTCATACCAGCAGTCCATCTGAGAGTCGGTCTATACCTGTAGCGACGGCCAGGGAATGTGTTATACTTACGAGCACGAGCGTCATGCGGAATTGGTCGCATAGGCAAAGTTTACAAACTTGTACAGACACATGTGCATACGTACATACATGCATGCATGCATGCATGCATGCATGCATGCATGCATGCATGCATGGATGTAATGTAATGTAATGTAACGTAATGTTATGTTATGTTATGTTCTGCTATGTTATGTCATGTTATGCTATGCTATGTTATGCTATGCTATGCTATGCTATGCTAGGTTAGGTTCGGTTAGGTAGGTAGGTAGGTAGGTAGGTAGGTAGGTAGGTAGGTATGTATGTATGCACGTATGTAGGTATCACGCCTTGACTCAGCGGGCAGCGGGTTCAAAGCATGTCATACATATGCATGCATGCATGCATGCATGCGTGCATGGATGTATGGATGGAGGAGGATATATGCTAATCTGCCTGCCTGTCTGCTTGTCTGCCTTTCAGTCTGTCTCCCTGTCTGTCTGTCTGTCTGTCTGTCTGTCTGTCTGTCTGTCAATCTGTATATCTGTATGCCGTATGCCTGTATGTCTGTATGTCAGTATGTACGTAAGTAACGGTGTATGTACGTAACTGTCGTGTGCTGGTTTGTTCAATTCGTATACGCATCTCCGTACATTCATATATGCAGATGCGGCACCACAGCAAAATACAGCAGTATGAGCTTTCATGCAAAAGTATTACTACGTTGTAGCCCGAAATACTGACATATATGATAGCCAAGCGACATCTACACCCCTCTGCGCGTCAATGCGGGATTGAACATCCTCAACATCAGAAGCCTTTATTGGCGTACCCTTATGGGAACCGGACCCTTAAAGGACCCTAGAAAGCCCTTACTATGGAACCGGAACCCTTTATGGCGACCCTAAAAGCCACCATTAGGGCCCTAAACCCCGAAAGCCATTGAGAGGTGCCGACCAGATCCTAGCACTCTCCAGGCCTCTTTCCTTGACATCGTCTTTAGGGTTTAGGAGCTTAGGGTTTCAGGGTTTAGGGTATGTCTGCTTTAGGGGTTCAGGGTTTAGGTTCAGGGGTTCAGGGTTTAGGGTTTTGTGCTTTAGAGTCAGGGGTTCAGGGTTTCCGCCATAGCGGTTAGGGGTTCAGGATTTAGGGTTAAGGGGTTCAGGCTAGGGGTTTAGGCTATGGGTTTCAGGGTTTAGTTAGCGTTTAGGGATTTACGGTTTAGGGATTCAGGGCTGAGGGCTTAGGGTTTGTTTAGGTGTGGAGTGAAGGTTTAGGATGACGACGATGAGTTTACAGTTGTAAAGTCCTGTGGATGCTTCGCTCATACACTTTGTGGAGGCTCACATCGGGGAGCACGTCCATTGCTGTGTGGGCAGGGGGCCCAGCTCAGTGGCGTTCAAAGCATGGCAAAGGTGGGCCATGTTTTTGTTGCACCTCTTCACGGTGTTGCGGCCATTGCCTTGTCGAGGTTGCGCTGAATGATTTCGCACCCCCGTCTGCGTCACCAACTTCCATTCAATTCGAAGACACGGATTCCGGTGCTTCTGCAAGCACTTCATGCTGTGGCTTTGTGTTTGTGCCCGTGTGGGTGCATGCAAACAACATCCCCTAACACCACCCGGGTTAACCCCCAAAAAGGCCGGAGAAAGGAGGGACGAAGCTTGCCGCAAAGGAACAGTGGAGGATGTCCGATTGCAACCATGCCCGTCAGATTCTACGGACGAAACTTTTCCGCTTTGAGCTTCATCCGCTCTGCAGGACCGCTAGAGATCTGCCCTAGGCCTGGCCAGGTCTCTGGATCGGTCTCTCAAAGTACTGAAAATTTTATTATTACTATTTTTACTATCATGATTATTACTATTGTTATTATTACTATTACTATTCTCATTATCGTTATTATTATTACTATTATTATAACGCAAGGACTAGGCTCCTGAGTAGTACCCATTTGCCCTTTTTCATTTCGGGCTCCGGTAGTACAACCAAATAGTAGGAAACAGGATACCCTTATTATTAAGGGGCTACCGGGGAACCTAGAGGAAGCATTGACGCAGACCAAACCTGATATCTAGTATCTTTCGTAGCCTCGGCGCAGGACCGGTCTGACTATCCCACCCCCCAATTACACAGCTCTGGCTTCTGCCATCGTGGCGGAACGTGCCATTACGAGGGTAGTGCTACTGGTATCACTTTTGCTGCACACTGTCATACTTTCATTCTGCTGCTGCTTGGAATGGCTGCTGTTCCTGCCGCTACTTGCTATTAGTACTCCTACGGTATCTGCAATACAGTAGAGCAAGACAATCGCGAGCCTGAAAGCACATGTATTTTGCACAATGTAATTGCAGTCTAGGAAACTTGCATAGCTGGTGTAAAGAATTCCCAATCGCAAAAGATCTGATTTGCAAGGTATCAGACAGATCGCCGGCGTGATTACCCTTGGAAGGGCTTCAGACGAGTCTGCCATCTCTGGCTACAAGGTATACTTTGGCAGCCCCTCTCTCAGATGAACTGACGGAACTGAGTGTGTGCAGAGTCGAGGCTTTGATGTCATACATGAGTTGTCCAACTTCGGTAAATTAGCCACGGTATGTTGTGCGTGGGTATATGTCTGTGTGTACATATGAATATAACATGTGTGTGTATATGTATATGCATGTCTATAGACATGTGTATGTATATATATATGTGTGTATACATACATATATATATATATATGTACCGGGATTGTTTGCACATGTTTTGCAGTGCAAGATGCATTGCGTCGTGTTCGAAGCAATCGTGGTCAGGCAGTGCGACGCAGAAGCTTCCGCCAGCAGTCCTGCCTGGACTTGCGTACAAGCTCTTTGTATTCCCACAGCCTGGTGGCTGCAACAAAACTAGGTAGGCCTTTGGGATATTTTATATTTTGCCTTGTTGGGCTTAAGAGGACCCTAGTTCCAGAGTGAGACCACCGTCTGAGCAATCGTAACGCGACCGGCAACCAAGCTCTTCGAAACCCACGCGCTTCCAATCCCCACGTGTTGGAACCGAAGCCTTGTAATAAACAAGCAGGGCATGTCTCCGACAATAAAGCCTTCTGCTTTTCCTGTAGGGTTAGTAAAGTAGTAGGAGCTGTTGCCCACCGTACCAGTGCCTGTTGTACGTTTTCTAGTTGCATGTTACCAGGTTCTTGCAGTTACCGTGTCGTGCTCGTGCTGGCGTGCATCTTCTCAAGGCGGAAGAGCTCTTCCATCTTTCGGATCCATTCGGCCCGAACTACCAGCAGACATCTCATTCTTGCCTAGACCTTACGCCTCGAAGTCCTACACCCCCAAGCCCTTCAGTCCCCACACAGCTAGGAAAAGAGGCCCAACCCTAAACAAACAACAGCCATCCCAGCTCAGGAGCAGCTCGCTGCCTTCCCTCGATGGCCGTGCGCCGACTTCGGAAGGTGTCCATGCCTCGCTGGATTTCGTGAGGCGAGCTCAGCTTCATTGGGAGTGAGGCGTTTGGGGTTCTTTAAGGGCTCCATACCCGGGTTCAGTGTTCACGGTGTTAAGGTTTGGGGCTCGGGGTTAAGAGTTGAGGTATAGGGTACGGGGATTTCAGGAGATCATTTCGGGTTCGCTGCGTGCACAGATGGATCGTAAGCTTCGATATAGCCTAGTACCACGGGGCCTGACATTCTACTGATGCGCGGGGGTTTCGGGTACCTTGCGTCGGGGTCCCAATCTATCCTATCTCAGAACCCCTACGTAGTTCGACAAACCGGCAGAGGAGCTGCAGATCCGAAGTAAAGAACCCTAAACCTTCAACTCGAATTCCTTCATAGTGATTCTGAAACCCGCAACCGGAATCCGTAAGCCCACACCCTCACACTAAACCCCCCTAAATTACCTAAACCTTAAGCCCCAAACCTGAGTTTTAGCCGTTTGAGGCAAGACTTTGGGTCGCCGGAAGCTTTCAACACGGGCTTCGCTATACGATGGACGGGCTTCCTCCACATCGTGACTGCCGGAACCTACTACTTCCAGACCTTTTCGGATGGCTGCAAGGCGATTTTGGAAGACCCGTGTTCGTAGTTTCAGGCTTTGGGGCTCAGGGGTTCAGGGTTTAGGGTGGAAGCTCTTCAACTTTGGGTCTTTGGCTTTCTAGGATGCTTTGGGAGGTCTACTTGCATGGAGACGTGCTGATTGATGATGCCGGCGGCTCAGTGCCACATGGCAGCTGCTTGCTGCAAGACTCCGTATCGTAGCATCCCTCCACATGCGCAGCAGGGTTCTGAACCAGGGATACAGCCTCCTAGTAGCAACTTTCAGCAGCTATCTCAGCACCCCGGCGGCTTCGAAGCCTGAGGGGCCTTGGGTTCGGGAAGGTCCAAGGCTTCAAGAGCTCAAAACCCTGAAACCCTAAACCCTAAACCTTAAAGCCCTAAAACCCCTAAACCCTAAAGCCCTAAACCCTAAACCCCTAAACCTTAAAGCCCTAAACCCTAAACCCCTAAACCTTAAAGCCCTAAACCCTAAAACCCCTAAACTTTGAAGCCCTGAACCCTAAAAACCTAAACTCGACCCTGTAAGAGTAGCTCAGGATGTCTTCAAGACCAACGCATCGTGGAGCGTGGGAACCAGTCTGTTCCTTGAGCAGGGAGCACACTCGCTCCAGGTCGACTACTTCTTCGCACAGGTAGGGTGATTGGGTGTTGTTCTGCTTGAAAACTCTACTTAGCTTAAGAGTATCGCGAAACATTGGGAACTGGGTGCACATGATCGTCTACTTTATGTGGGTTCGGGGGTACATGAGGAATCGGCTCTTCATGCTCAATCTCACGTTCTCCCCACTTCAGAAGTGCGAAGCTTTCATCCTACGGAAGCTTCCCTAAACTCCCTAAACCCTAAAACCTAAACCCTAAATCGGGCAGGCCGCAGCTGCGCCGGAGGGCACGATGTTGCTGAATTACTGGGGGACCGACTCAAGCGACATGTGGATGCCGGTGCCGGCAGACAAGTTCCTTTGCTTTCGGAGTTTAAAAGGTTTAGGGTTACGAGTTCCTTTGGCCAGGTTTGAGGGCTTGAGGGGGGTTACGGGCTGCAAGCTATAACTGTAAGGATTCAAGTTCAAGGTTTGCCAAGTCCAGCTTAGGCCCTAGATTCGGCCAGCTCTAGAGCGACGGCCCTCAAGACTGCAGACGCATCGACCCGAAACCCGAAACCCTAAACCCCAAACCCTAAACCCTAAACCCTGAACCCTAAACCCTAAACCCCGAAACCCTTGAACACTGAGCTCTATGAATCGCCTCCTAGATCCCAAGTCCGATCAATTCCCCAAAAACTCGATGCTTCAACATCTGCCCCTCAAACCCTTGCACCTCTCACCCCCCTAAGGCCCCCTTTTGGCTTTTCTCCGAACTCTTGAGCACCTGAAACTCAAGCCGGGCGGTCCTAAGCGCTAGATCCGCTAGATCCCGAAGCTTGAAACCCCTGAACTTTGAGTTTGAACCCCCATACACCAAGCCATGATCTCCGAAGACCCCAACTCTCTCAACCCAGTTGACCTGCAAAGACACTGAAGCCCTGCAGCACAGGCTTTCTCATGGAGTGAACGAGACCGACTGGATCGCTTACGTGAGTGTATCTGCACAAGGCACCTGCGAGTTGTTGCGATATGGGGCAAGCTTTAATACATAAGTCAAGAATGTCCCTGCTGTAGGATACGGTGACATCATCTTTTGCTAGATACAACCGCAAGGGCTATACGAGCCGTTTCTATACATGTGCACGCGTGTATACATATATATATATATGTATATATATATGCACACACATTGCTTCCGAGTGTGTAGGTAGTGTAATGCAATGTGATATAGTGTAATGTGCAACGTAACGTTGCAACTCAATGTAGTAGTCTCATGCATTCAATGCCAGTACTGCTATGTAAGGCTGCCCTATGTAGTGTAATACGACATGATGTGATGCTACGCCGTACTTTGCTGCTTCTTGACAACTTACAGTATGTTATCTATGTTGTGTTGTGGAATGTTATGCCAAGATATGTTATGCTATGCTATATTGCACTATCTTTTGGAGTGTTGCGACATGTCGCGTCATGCATGTGTTATGCTAACCTAGGGTTGTCGTCTGCGTTATGTCTTTCCAGTGTTGGGTTATGATATGCCATGCCATAACATGTTTGGCTTTGTTGTGTTATGTTGTGTTACGTTGTGGTGGTGCTGTGTTATGCTATTCTACGTTAGGTTTTGCTGGGCCAGACTGGGCGAAGGATGAGATGCCATGTCATCTTTATGTGATGTCATATCTGTGTCATGTAAATTTCTTTATGCTAAATTTATATGTTATGTTATATGATGCTTCATGTTGTGTTAGATGTTATGCTGTACTTGGCTGTTATATGTTATGCTATATGTTATGTCATTATCTGTTCTGTTCTGTTCTGTTATGCTAATGCCATGTTATATTGTGTATGCGTTTATGTAAGCAGAATGGCATATTTCATACTTAACTGTTCTTGCTCATGTATGTAGTCTCTATACTTTCCTGATGTGGCATGTTCGTATATATGTATTGTGTATATATATATACACACAC